CAGTAGAACCTAATAGCCATTTGCATGAGATTCCCAAACCTTTCTAAGAGAGCTTATGAGGGGTACCCGGGCCTTTTGTCAAATTACATTAAAAAAGGGAAGGTAGCCCCTAAATGATCCCTGGAGAGAACACCTAAGGAAGACCCACAGCTCAGCCTGAGGTGTGGATGGAAGAGGGAGAGACCAGGAGAACAGGCTTCCCACGTTAGGGCAAAGGCAGGGGTGGTGGTGGTGGGGTTGCTCCAGGACACAAAGCATGATCACTCTGGTAACTTCCCACCCCAGCTCTCTAGTAGATACTTAGTAACAGAGTGGAGTAACAGAGTGGACCTTAATTGTAGATATGAAAGAGGGTCTTTTGGAGTGAGTTTAATCTCAGGAAAATTAGGTCAAATTATGACCTGAGCCATTGATATTTCATGTTGCCAGTGAGGCCTGCTTAAAAGGATTGTTTAGGACCTCAAATAGGCACCCCGTGAGTTCCTTTACTTTTAAAATACATGTAGGCAGCTTTTCTTTTCATAGTCAAATGTTTAATTTTATTTTGTTCTCTGAGTTGACATTGAAAGAAATAATTGTGAAATTCCTTCAATGGGCCAAAATATATTCAGCTGTTCAGAATATAATCAAGTCAGCTATTTTGTATCAGCCAAGCATTGTGTCAGGATAAATAGACTGGGCATTAATCATCTCTGAAGGGTGCTTAAATTTTAATTTCATATGAAAAACTTATTGAATGTCCTTGACACTTAATACTTTTTAAAAAATATCACTTCATTTGGGGGAAAAGGTGAAAGTGGAGAAGATATTCTTAACAATGATATTTAATTAAATTTTGTGGTATGAGAACAGAATTAAATATCATGGCTTACAGAGTGGAATTTGAAGTCTGGCTTAATTAAGTGCTGAGCTTTGCTTAAGTTTGAATGTCAAATCAGGTGAAACTCATTTTACACAGTTTCCATTCAAAATCCCATCCCATTCCTTCTATCTTTGTTTGCTCCTCCTCTTCGACCTCTTTTGCCTGTAGGTCTTATATAATTGAAAACATTTGAGGTGTTATGGAAATAACCAGAATGGCCAGGGATGGCTTTGTAGCCTTTGTGTTTTTCTGTAGCTAAAACTGAAGAGGCTGGGAGGTCCAAGGTTGAGGGACAGCATCTATGAGGCCTTCTTGATGGTGTGGACTCTCTGCGGAGTATCCAGCTGGCTCAGGGCACCACATGACAAGAGGAACACATACCAGAGACAGAGCCAAACTGGCTATTATAATAGATCCACCCTCAAGATGACCTTTTAACTCATGATTTCATTGATGAGGGCAGAGCCATCATAACCTCAGTGCTTCTTAAAGGGCCTACCTGGTCCCACCTTTTAATACCTCATGATGGAGATTAGATTTTAATTTGAGTTTTGGTGAAACATTCAAACAAAATATTTTTTTAAAGTGTAAAATAGCTTTTACACTTTTAAAAAATATTTTTAGCTCTGAAGTGGATGGGTTTGGAGCATCTACAGCTTTTATGTGCAGTAGTGTTGGAGGAAGGCTTTCCAGAAGGTCCTGGGATGTGACTCTACCTTAAAATGGCCTCTGCTGGATCCTGCCAGTGATTTTGAGGACTTAGAAGTTTGGTTTTATCAGTTCCCTTTATGGTTCAGCCCTAGTGATAACTGAGTTGTACTGGCCAGACTTACACCTCGCTAATATGAATTGTATCCTAAATGTTATATGTCATATGCAGGGTTTTACTTTCCTAGGATGGCAGTATCTTGGACATGCAAATCAGTCAAAATTTCTTGTGGGTAGGACATCTAGGCTGAGAATCAACCCATTTCCATTGTAGGAGATGGATATTTTGGGGGATTAAATGAGAGAAGTATATGACATTGATAGAAATCTTAGTTCTAATTTTAGTTGTAGCATTTTTTTTGGCAGTGGTGTCCTCATCTGAGAAAGAAGGGATAGAACTGGGTCCATGAGTATTGCACCTCAGATGCAGCATTTTCTTTCCTTATTGATGCTCAATGCCTGTAACAAATCCCCAACTCTCCAAATTATGCATACCCTACATTTTCCACTTTGTGCTTTTCTTTGTTGTTTTGGTAAATGGTAGATTCGTGGATTAAAAGTCATTTTAAAGACCTGTCTAACATAGTCAGCCATCTGAAAGCCTGGGGAAACACACTGACTTAAATGTGATTGATTTAGACAATCAGACATTCCTGGGTTCCTGTCAGCTAATGGTAGAGTAGATCTGATGGGGGCTGAGAAAAACTTTGATTCCTGAGCTTAGCTTTGAGAGTAGGATCTAGTTAGGATGGGCTGGAATTAAAAGGCCCATAGCCCTGCCATGGGGCAAGTGGAGGAGATTTGTTTTTAGTCTGTCTTTTAATGTAATAATCCTATAAGTGTGTCTCACCTCTTTTCTCTAAGGCTGACGTAAATATATTGGAGGAATCTTGTTTGCTTCCTAGTGGATGCTTCCTCTCTAACTTGTTTGATGTTGCTATTCCCTGTTCTATTAAACCTGTGAAGGATTTGATGTTACCCTATTTGTAAAGTTGTGTGAGGTGTGTGTGTGTGTGTGTGTGTATGTGTATGTATGTACACTTGCATATAAGTACTGCAGAAAAATGAACATCAGTTTGCATACCCAGATTCACAGGCAATGTGATGAGAATCAGTGGATTTTCTCTGTGCAGATAAAAGACAGAGAACAATGTATTTTGCCCATTTATACAGAGCAGAGAGGCAGCCATCAAAAGAAGGGAGAAAAACCTTTGTTCCTTTAAGATATATGGAAAGAATTTGGGGTTTTTATTAACCTTCTGGAGCATAAATACATTTTTCCAAGGGCCAGAAGGGGTTATGAGGACCAGATGTCTCCATGGTCTGGACTTCTGTAAATACCAGGGAGGAAGCTCTTGTCTGTCACTTTGTTTTTCCTAAATAAAACAAAGAGATCATTCATAATATTTTTCTCTTTAAATTTCACAAAGTGTTTTATTTAGGAAAATTGATGCCTATTTCAGGGATTTTAAGAGAGATGCTTGTTGGGTAAACCCCAGAATACACACTCAGGAGAGAAGGTGGGCTGTCACCAAACCCATTGATATGGGTGGGTTAATATTTATACAGGAACATTACTAGGGTCTGGACTACGGGTGGAACCACATAATTTCACACCAGTGTTCCCTGTATTTGTGTATTGCCCTCAGGTTTCAAGGGCTTGAGTCAAGGGTACAGGCCAAGTTGCCCCCATCTTGTAGCCTACAGGTCTGTTCTAGACTGTAGCCACTTGGCAAATTTATAAAGATCAGAGAAGTTTTATCATTACATTCGGCTATGGATCTAATCCTTAAGGGTATGCAAAAAGTAAGAACTTCTAGAGGAAGTGAAGGAAGATTTCTCTACCTTCTCTACTTTATCATAAATATTTTATGTCTCAGGAGGCAGGGACTTTTTCAGGAATACGGAGAAATCCAGGGAGGTTTTATTTTCCCACATCTACCGTGGATATTACCCAATTATGACAGCCCCTATTATTCATTTATATAGATCTAGATAAATAGATATAGTGACTTAATAGAGATTATAAGAGTAATTCCATTGCTTTGATATCATATAAGTGATGATGTGAGGATTTCTCAAAATTAGGGTCACTGTGATTCAAATAGAGCCCACACATTAAGCCTGCATTTCTTTTACTTTCTGTTGAAAAGAGGCTGATGATTTGAAAATGACTATTACTTTTTATTGGTATGGTTCATGCTTGTGAAAAGGAGCAGATGACAAACTGGGGCATTTTAAATTTCACTTCTAGCTAAAACTATAAGAACAAATGAAGCACTATGATTATGCTACATTGATCAAGTGATTAAAATGAAAGAACATTTTGTAAAAGAATTTCTCTTGATATCCTTAACTTTTTACTTGTGATAGGAAAATTTTATAATAACACTTAAAAAAGAGATCATTCATAATATTTTTCTCTCTTCAATTTCATTGGTTTTATGATATATTGGTCTGCTTAGTCTGCTACAACAAAGTACCAAGATTGGGTGACCTAAAAATAGATATTTATTTCTCACAGTTCTGGAGACTGGGAAGTCCAAGGGCAATGTGCTGGCCAATTTCATTCTTAGTGAGGACCCTAAAGACCTCTTCTTGGCTTCAGCATGGCTACCTTCTTGTTGTACCATTTCATGGTGAGAGTGAAAGTTCCAGTGTTTCTTCCTCTTCTTTTAATGACATAATCCACCCATTGGGGATCTACCCTATGATCTCATCTAAACCTAATTATATCTCAAAGAGAGACTTCCTAATATAATCACACTGGGAATTAGAGCTTCTGTGTATGAAGGGAGAACACATTTTATCCATAACAGAATATATGAAGGTGATTTCTAGAAAAAGATGGCAGGTTTAACAAAGGCATCACTGTTTCCTTCTTGGAATCCTAACACAAAACAGTGGTACAGAAATAAGAGATATAAGCCCACAAAGATAAAGAGATTGGGGGAAAGAACAGCAGTAGAATATTAGAGTAGAACATGTAAGATATGGAAAATGACAAACCTCAAAATTGTGTGGCCTGGAAAGAGGGAGTGAGGAGGGCCAAACATTGATAACATTGGTCCTTCCCCAGTACATCCCCTCCCAGTGATGAAGTCAATCCCTGGGAAGGAGATATCCATCAAGCCTAAAATGGAAGTCTCTGGGAGGAAGCCAAAGCCTCCATCCTTCCCCAAATAAATCCTTTCCCAGTGACAGTACAGTGGGACCCTGAAGGAAAAGAGATAAGCACTGAATGCTGACCCCCAGACCCTCCATTCTTCCCCAAGTAAAAACATTGCCCAGTAAAAACAAATTTCAAATTCTCACAGCCTGTTTCCTGAGTGCCCAAACTGACACCATCCGTCAATAATTAAATCACCTCTCAGTGTAGCATATATAAACACAGGATTCCTCCTTTGGCCAGCAGCTTGTTTTCCATCAGGAGATGCATGACTCCACTACTGAAAGAGGCTTTGCTGATCCATGAAGTTTGCACTCAGCTCAGTCATTTTGTGCTAACAGAAAGCAGAGAGAGACAAATAGTAAGTAACAAGCTCTAATCATTATTGTTTCTTTAATAAAACATATTCAAATTTAGTGGCTTTAAATAAACACACATTTATTATTTTACAGTTTCTGTGGGCTAGGGATTCAGGCATGCTTCAGAGGTTTTCTCATGCTGAAATCATGGTGTCGGCTGGAGCTATAGTCCTCGCAAGGCCTCCAAGTCCTCTATGGTTGTTGGCAGGACTCAGGTCCTCAGAGGGGAATGGGCCTGGGCCTCCTTTCTCTGGCTGTTGACCTGATGTTGCCCTGTGTTTCTTGCCATGTGGTCCTTCCCAACATGGCAGCTCACATCACCAAAGTATATGGGCTGAGACAACAGAGCAAGTCCATCAAAACTCAGTCATTTCTTACCAAACCATGCAAATGACATCACTTTTTCCTTATCCCATTTGTTAGAAGCAAATTATTGGGTCCTGCCCATGCTCAAGGGGAAGGAATACAAGGATGGGGAGAGCCATTCTCTTGTTTTTTAAATTGAAATATTAATTGCAATAATTGCAGATTCATAGGCAGCATATAAGAAACAACACAAATATGTACACTTTGTTCATTTTCCCTGAAGGTAATATTTTGCAAATTGTAGTATAGCATCACAACCAGGATTTTGATATTGACATTGATATAATCCATCAACATTATCAATGTTTTCAAATTTTACTTTTGTGTGTTTACTTCTGTACAGTTTTATCACATGTGTAGGTTCCTGTATCCACTACCACAATCAAGGAGCCTTCATTTAGAGGACCATATTTGAAAGCCATATATAGCAGTCTGCCCAGTGATTCACATCCCTTCAGTGTGCATCCCATTACAGTATCAGCTCAGAGTCCAGCATTGTGTCATCCAAATCTGGTCCAGGCCTTGCATACAGCATCTTGAGTATAGTCCCTTTTCATCTGCAGTTTTGTGCTATCACCAATTATTTATGTCTCTACAGAATTCATACGTTGAAACCCTAATCCTCAATGAGATAGTATTTGGAGATGGAGCCTTTGGGTCATAAGGGTAGAGCCTTTATGATTGAATTAGTGTCCTAATAAAAAGAAAGGAGAGCTTTCTCTACCTTTCCCTCTCTGCTCTCTCAGGGCATAGTGAGAGATGGCCATCTGCAAACCTAGAGGAGAGCCCTCATCAAAACCCAACCTCATAGGCACCATGTTGACTTCCCAACCTCCCGAATTGTGAGAAATTTGTATTTATAGGCTACCTTGTCTATAGTATTCTGTTTTAACAGCCCATATTTAGACAGTATGTGAAACTAAAGAGACGAGTGATCTGCCCCCCAACACACCCTCACAAGCTCTAGGTTGTGCTTGTGGTTTTCATCTTGCTTGGTGTGTATCCATCTTCCTTTCCTGCCTGTCTCTCCTGTGGACTTCAGGTCCAGCATCAGACATGAAGATACCAGCCTCATAGAGACTATGTAGCCAGCTCCTACAGTTGCACAAGGCCAGTCCTCTATAATCTTTGTGTGTGTCTCTCTGTCTCTCTAAGTACACACACACACATACACACACACAGTAGTTTGATTCTCTGGTTGAACCCAACTGATACATAGTGTAGAAAGCTAATCCTAGGTACCAGTGAGAAAAGGCAAGAATCGATCAGTTTATACCATTAAACCTTTGGATTCTATAGAATAAATACCTCCAGAAAGATGGAGTGAATTGTAGGTTATCAGTATGAGGACTTGTTGAAAATCTGTTTAAGAAGCTTTTAGAATTCAAACTCTTTACTCTATACTGCTTGACAAGTACCTTCTGTTTAGCTGGAAGGAATCCCAATATTTTATTTCTTTGGATTTGGGACATCAGGCACAGCTGATAACTGGCATATTCTGTGGGAAACAGAAGAGAGTGAAGGTTAACTAGTGAAGCTGAGACTTTATTTACCCATGTTGTAGATGCCAGTCCCCAGGTTTTTATCCTCCAAGCAGAATAGGAGGCCTCTTATGGGAATTCAGGCCAACCCAAAAGAAGAGATGTTTTATACAATGCCAGATGTGCTGGCAATGTATAAAATCATGAACAATATGATTGTCGTAGCTATGAATTTATTTGTTAAGTCTCAACAAGTTAAAACAAACAGGTAATTTAAAGGTGATTTTAGGACAAGTACACTCCTTAGATAAAAATAATCTTCCTTTGTTGTGGAAGACTCTTTTCCTTCCAAGGGCATATCTGGGAAGGGTCACCATATGTAGTGCTGAGGGAAAGGGGACTCTTAACCAGCAACACCTTCAGTACTAACAGTGCTGGTGACAAGTGAGTGACAGGAGTCATCAGCTGTGCACTATTCCACTTAGGACAAGAAAAGAAAGTACTTCCAACATGATAAGTAGTAGTTCAGAAAACAGGTGACCATAGAGAAGGCATAGGCCAAACCCATAAATCCAGAAAGGACACGGTATGGAAGATGATGAGTGATAGATCTGTAATGCCTTCCAGTTCTCTCTCAACATTTGTGGAGTGGATAAATGCATGAATATTTTAATACTTGTTTTTTTGCTATTGGTGCATATTTCTTAATTGCATTTTAATTAACTTATTTCCTATAACATAAACAGCTTTGCTTAAATGATAACTACCTCCAGAGGTAGTTATGGAGTATTCTACATGTTATTTTTTCTGCTTTATGTTAGTGGGACCAACTTTTATGTCTATGTTACATGCACTATTCTAATGTATCTGGCTTCTATGGATCTTGAAGGTCTTACAAAGAATTTTTCATAATACTTCACTTCTGGTAGATATTCAGTGCCACTGTATTTTCCATGGCCTGAGCCATATATTATTCAGCAGAATAACCAACTATGAGGAAATAGCCACTGTAAATCTTGTTACTTCCCCTTTCAGCCAGTCTAGGTTTCCCTTGCTCTGGTTTGGACCCTGTGCTTACCTTAAGCATGTATGACGTAGCCTACCTTGCGGGGCCTTGGGAGAGAGCTGACTTTCTTTTAAAGCACTGAATTTTTGGAAAAGAAGAAAATAAAAATCTCTGACAATTTTGCCACTTAGAAATCTCCATATTGATATTTGATGTTTTTTCTTCTAATCTTTTCACTCTGTACAAGCATGTTCACGTGTACAAATATATTCTTGAAAACATGTACCAAAGTCAAAAGTATAAAATAAATTTTATGTGGATTTGTTTCCTTTTGTGAAAGCAGGAACATTTTATACAATTTCAAGTGATACCTCACCTTTTAGGTATAATTTATGAATTGCCAGTATTCATGGACTTTAATTTTTTATTTATAACTGAACATATGAATTTTTTATTGGCCAAGGTATAAACATCCAGCTTTGTATTAAATATTCACCACCCTTTGTATCTGTTTCTTTTATTTCAACCATATTTTTGTGATCTTTGCTTTGTAAAACGTGGCATTTTAATTTACCCATCTTCACTCAATTTTATAAAATAATACTAATATGCAAAATAAGTCCTGATTTGCCTCATTTTTGGCTTAGATGCTTAGACCTGAGCTGTGGCTGGCATAGGATCTTAGTATTTATTCCTTAATTTGGTTTTACCTGTGGTAATGTTGGTATTTGGGTAGGAAAATTTTTTCATTCTATTTTGTGCATTGCAGAATGCAGAACATCTCTGGCCTTGTGTACTATGTGTTTGAAGCACGCACCAGTCAATATGACAACCAAAAAAACCTCTCCACATATTTCTACCTGTACCCTGCCTGGGGCAGGAGAGGAGACCATGGCTGCTTTGCTGATGCACTGAAGTATACATTTCATGGAAAAGTAGGTTAGAAGTGAAAGTATATAATTATGAAAGCACTTTTTTTTAAGAGTAAGAATTGAAAGATTACCTGTTTGTATTTTTACACAATTACTATAATACTGTATACAGTTTGGGGTCTAAATTCTATAAAGTATCATTATCATGAATCTTTCCTCATATCATTAATATTTTCTTGAAGACAACTTTTTTGTGTGTGGTGCTGGGAATTGAACCCAGAACCTCATACATACTAGGCAAGTGCTCTACCACTGAGCTACATCCAAAGATCTTTGAAAATAATATTAATGAATGCATAAAGTCATTTTATAGATTCATAATTTATTTAACCCCTTCACTATTATGGACAGTTGGAATTGCTTCCAGTTTTTTGCTGTCATAAGTAATGTTGCAGTTAACCTCTTTGTAGAGGTATAATCTAATCAAGTATTTATTAGGCCCACAATAAGGAATATACAAAGATTTTATTTTTTTCTAGTTTTGATCTATTGTTACACCTAGATTAGTTAAAGATGCTCTCAAAATGAATGGGGAAGATCAGAATAAGAATAACTTGTTGTTTCTTGGAAAAGCCTGGGAGGTTTTTGTTTCCACATGTAATTTCTTGGCATTTTATGAACAGCAGATGCCTTTAGTCCTCGCATGCTGCCCACTTCTTTGTTTTTTGGTTTTTTTAGAGCTTTATGCTTATACATAGCAGTTGGGTTCATCATGATAAACTTACACATGCATGGAAATCAATTTCAGTTCACAATTCTCCCTTTGCCCTCCTCCTTCCTCTAAACTGCTAGACTCCCTTTTACTCGTCGATTCCTGCTTCCCACTTCTGATTTCAGTTGTCGCTGTGATGATGGAGTTTCTTGTAAATCCAGGCTCACTTTCCATTGTTGGTGTTCCAGCAAACTCATACTACGCCCAGCCTTTCTCCACCAGCATCCTCCACAGTACAGAGGACTGCGAGTTTGCCGAGCCCCTGCAGCAAATGCAGCCTGCAAGGAATATGAGTTCAAGTCTGTTCTTCCTTGCTCCACTGGCCACCCCAGCTTCCCCTGCAGAGGCGGGCATGTCTCAACTGGCTGAACAAACCTCCAGCCTCCTGTCTTTCAGAGGGACAAACTCTGGAAGATAAGTCTCAAAGTTTCACATAGGTACTGGTAGAATTAGTCTCCTTTTTCCATGGCAGTGACCTCAGGAATGCTCTTCTGTTGGCTTTTTTTTCATTCCCTGTCTTGTGCCACCTATTCTTTCCCTGCTTCATAGGATCACCTTCCAAATAAATTACATTCAGATTCTCATCTTCGGCTCTGCTTTTGGAAATCCAAACTAAGAGTCATGTAATAATCGTGATTTTTTTTTCTTTTTTTACTATGCTTCTTCTTAAATTTATGTGACTTACCTTTACTTCAGTGGTGAATGAGAAAACAGTCTGGTAACAAATTATAATCACCCATACAAGTAAAGAACATTTATCATAACACATTTTCTTTATGACGCTTTGTAATTAACAAAGCCTTTTTTTTCTTTGAGAATTCTTAACAGTGTAGGTGATTTTTTTTTCTTTGTTTTTACATGAATATTAATAAGCTGAATTGGTTGGAAAGGAAGAATGGATGAAGAGAAAGATGAAGAGATTATAGTGTATTTGGGTCCATAAACTGTTCTCAGTTATACTGTTGCTTAGAGTCTAAGTGATACAAAAAGTTTATATTACTCGTTCTCCAGATTATCCTACAAACTTGAGAAGAGTTAGTGATTGCCCTAGTTATTTTTAATATATATGCTACAAGATAACCGAAACAAAGGCTGTGTAGAACTTGGAAATGCTTAGAAGAAAAAGCACATGAATTTAAGTTGACAGTGTTGAATTATAATACCCTGAGAGAAAAGGAACATAATGTTCAACCGTGGCTGCACACAGAAGAAATAAAGCCAATTTTATCCCTCAAGATTTCACACTGTAATAAAATAAGGGGCAGAGTACATTAAATAGAGCATTATCATTTTGCACTTGTTTCTGCGTAATGTCTTGTCACAAAATTGTAATGTCACAAGCAGAGTTATTACCCAGCAATAGTTAAATCCCAAAAAAGTGATTTTAGTGCACTCAGCCCTCTGTAATTGATCCATAGAAAACATAAATATAAAATAATATGTGGATTTTATGACACTATTAATATGTGTTTCTCATTTACAAAAGCTTGTATGCTTATTGAAAAAAACAAACCATAATATCACAACAGTTTTAGAAAGTAAAAGACGTCTTTTCTCAATATTCCCCCTTCCCTTCCCGCACCCTGTTGTAACCAGTAATATATGTTTTTGTTTTAGACAAAAAATTTTAATATAAAAGCTGATATTTCTGAAATTTGGGATAAAATATAAAATTTGTTGGCGAAGAGTTTTAAGCGTATGGGAACTAAAAGTATAAAGCCTACTGAAAATGATTCTTAGGAACTTTGGGATTTTGAAAAGTGATCTGTGACTCCAAGGATATTTTACTTCTAGTAGAAATGCTAGTATGATTTAAAATTGATTATCTGAGTCATTTAAAAAATGAATTAGATTATAATTTTGATGAAATGTGCTCACTTCTAGACTGAACCATGTTCTTGCCTCTCAGGGACCCCCATTTCACCCTGTGCTTAATTCTCACCATATGTCTCTATACACTCACTGGTCTCAGGGTGTAGGGCCTATGTTGTGTCTACCAGCACATTTCCAGGGTCTGGTACATCCTACAGCAAATATAGTAAGTGCTCAATAAATGGTGTGGGGAGGAAGGGAAGGAGGATGCAGGGTGAGATAAGGCCTGTCATCACTCTGAGGAATTCAATTTTTCCACTTGGGAATAGTCAATAAAATCTTCAGGATCTCTGAATCATATCCTTGATGCTCCTCCCAGAATGCATTGGTCCTTGTTACTAAAGCTCACTGGGGATTGAGTTTTAACCTTTTCTTATTGTTCTTTCAGTTACAAAGAGTGCCCTGGCTTAGGGTTTCTATTTCTGAGGTAACACCCCAAAAGCAATTTAGATTCTGAAAGTGTGACATTATAGTGGTTCCCCCCCCACATCTGAGGTTCTACTTTCCATAGTTTCAGTTAAATGCAGTCAACTGTCATCCAAAAATATTAAAGGGAAAAATCCAGAAATGAGCAATTCATAAGTTTTAAGTTGTGTGCTCTTCTGAGTAGCATTATTTCCTTCTTGATCAATTTTACAATTCTCACCCATCCAAAATTTTTTATAGAAATTCTTACCAAAAAGTGAAATTTGAAGGTTTTTATAACAAAATTTATAAGAAAAATTCTTATTTTCTTCCTTAATAATTATAACTGACTTACTTTTAAGAATAGTATAAATGGCTTCAGAGAAGATATTTAGTAGATTTAATATTTAAATATTTAACATTCAGAAATTCTGGCTTTGGTACATAGATGGTATCATCTCTGTTGCTACACAAATGAGTAGTTCTGGTGAATATCCAAAGTTATGAAAAGTCTTTGGATAAAAGGCTTTAAACAAAGGCAGGATGGCCTGGTGACTTTCATGTCACACTGAGCTGGGTGTAAACTTGGACCCCAGACATGGGCCCTGCAAGCTACTTATCCTTCAGAGCATTATTGGTGAACTAGCATGAAAAGCATCTACCTCATGAGGTCTACTGGATAATTAAATCATGTAACAGGGGAAGTGCTGCTGCAAAGATCTTCAGTACTAGTGTTTACGGTTCATGCAACATACATATTTATATTTTCCTCTACCTCTCCCATATTAAAATTCACTTTGTTGCATCTTAAACCAGAAATCTACTGTTAGGACACCAAAGTAACTTTTAGAAGAAAAAGTAGAATGCCCATCTTCTGGAAGGACAGGAACCAGAATAGCAGGGATTCCTGTGTCTCTCTGGGATAACAGTATAAGATGATTCAGTGACCCTGGTCACTCCTTATTTCTTCAAGTTTTCAAATTGCTGGGAGAATTTGGCCCAGTTTGGGTCAGTCATCCTGGGCCATCTGAATAGGCAGGCAGAGAGAGGGGCTATTGAGAAATCACTTGTAGACAACACTGCTGCCCAATTTCCATCTTCTTTGTATAACATTGAAGTATTTTGGGAATATGTTTTTATTTTAACTTATAAAACTTTGGCTCTCAAAGGTAGAAAGCAAAAACTTGGATTTATTTGTTCACTCATTTATTCATTCAGCAAATATGCATATTTAATGTGTGCCACAGTCTGGCTGGGCACAATTCACGAGCCACTTATCAAGCAGAAACAAACTTTGTTTTTAGAACACACATGCAGCACCACACGAGCTCTTCAGGAATTCCCTCAGAGCCCAACTGCCACCTCAGGCACTCCCTGCAAGCACCTCCCCCAATCTCTTCCTGCTCTTGAGGCAGATTGGCTGGGTTGCGTGGGCGGAGCCAAAAGAGTCCCCCAATGAGCAGCTCTGTGTTCTGAAAGGGCGGGGAAACAGCCCAATGAGCATCACTGCAGAGGAGCCAATCAGCTGGTTGCTGGGGCCGCGGTGAGCCAATCAGCTGGAAGTTTGCTGGGGCCGCTTTGGCTCTGGCTCTCAACATCTCCCCCTCTCTGTTTAATTAAACAACAAGCATGTGGCTTAGGGACCGTGCCTGTCTTAGATTGTCCAATACTACATATGGTCCTTACCCATCATCATTGGATGAGCCTCCTGTCTTAGGTTGGTACCATTGCAATTGGATCTTACCCGTCATTGACTACCGGTCCAGCATAGAGCCAACCTGTAGATAGGCCTTTGTACCAGTGGGGGTGTGAGGTTCTCTGCCTCACCTCTGTTGGCTCCCAAATTTTAGCTGAACGACCATCACAACCAGAAGGGAGGAGGATACATCAAGCCAATTGACGGCTCATTTTGGAAAAATTGTACCACCGATGACACCATCAGCAAAAATACCCCGGCAGTACCACAAGTCGCTGCACCAACAGATAGTTCATAATGCATACAAGTGATACATAGTCGATGCAAGTTCTGCAAGCAGTTCAGTGATAGCTATTGCAGAAGCTGTAGTTTGGTTTTATCTTTGACTTCACTGGCACTGGGATGAAGATAGGAATTCTGGCAATAATGGCTAAAGAAAAAATTAGGTAACATTCCAGCAGGCACTAAAAGAAAACAATTTTCTGGACAATTTACATTATCCTGAACAGAATTATTAAATATAATGAAAAGGAAAGCTGAAAGTAAACAAACAGATCTGTTAACCTCCTTTTTTGTTCAC